GCGGGCCTCTCACTGCTGTGGCCTCTCCCGTTGCGGAGCACAGGCTCCGGACACGCTGGCCCAGCGGCCATGGCTCACGGGCCCAGCCGCTCCGTGGCATGTGGGATCCTCCCGGACCGGGGCACGAACCCGCGTCCCCTGCATCGGCAGGCGGACTAGAGAGTCCTTTTAAAAGTGAGATATAAGTAACATATAACATTATATTAGTCTCAGGTGTACAACATAATGATTCGATATTTGTATATATTGTGAAATGATCGCAGTAAGTCTAGTTAATGTCCATCACTACATATAGTTACAATTTTTTTCCTGTGATAAGAATTTTGCTTTTAATTGAAGTGTAGTTGATTTGCAACTATACTTATACATTACCTATGTTAATTTCAGGTGTACTGCAAAGTGATTCATATGTATGTACACACACACACACACACACACACACACACACTTTTTCAGATTATTTTCCCTCATAGAATATTACAAAATATTGAGTACAGTTCCCTGTGCTATACAGTATGTCCTTGTTGGTTATCTATTTTATACATAGTAGTGTGTACATGTTAATCCCAAACTCCTAATTTATCCCTCCCCCACCTTTCCCCTTTGGTAACCGTAAGTTTGTTTTATTTACTTATTTTTTTAAATTAATTAATTAATTTTTATTTTTTGGCTGCATTGGGTCTTCATTGCTATGCGCAGGCTTTCTCTAGTTGCGGCGAGCGGGGGCTACTCTTCGTTGTGGTGCGTGGGCTTCTATTGCAGTGGCCTCTCTTGTTGCGGAGCACAGGCTCTAGGCATGCAGGCTTCAGTAGTTGCAGTGTGTGGGCTCAGTAGTTATGGCTTGCGGGCTCCAGAGAGCAGGCTCAGTAGTTGTAGCACATGGGCTGAGTTGCTCCACGGCGTGTGGGATCTTTCCCAGACCAGGGCTCGAACCCACGTCCCCTGCATTGGCAGGCGGATTCTTAACCACTGCGCCACCAGGGAAGCCCCATAAGTTTGTTTTATATGTCTATGGGTCTATTTCTGTTTTTTATGTAAGTTCATTTATATCTTATTTTTTAGATTCCACATATAAGCGATATCATATAATATTTGTCTTTCTCTGTCTGGCTTACTTCACTTAGTTTGATAATCTCTATGTCCAACCATGTTGCTGCAAATGGCATTATTTCATTCTTTTTTTGATAAGAACTTTTAAGACGTATTCTCCTGCAACTTTCAAATATACAGTACAGTATTATTAACTATAGTTACCATATTGTACATTACGTCTCCAGGACTATTTATCATAAATTTTTTTTATGAGAAATCAGTTTCTTCATTAGGTAGTTATGTAAATAATAATAATACATATTCATGGTAAGCAAATCAAATAGAACAGAGGAATAAGAAGGACATAAGGTAAAAATAAGAAGTAGGGTGATCATGGTGACCCTGTTTATAGGGGACTATCCCAGTTAAAAGTGAAAGGCCCATGTCCTGATAACCCTTCAGTCACTGAGAAATCAAGACATCTGGTCACCCAAACAGCTCTTAATTCCCCAATTCCTCTGCCCAGAGATGTACCTTTTGCCCAACTTCACCCATTTCACCCACCCCCACCCCCTAGCTCTGGCAACCACCAATCTGTTTTCTGTATCTATGAGTTTGGGGGGTGTTTCAGTTAATTAAAAATTTTTTACTTTAAAAGTCTAGAGATTTTTAAATTTATTTACTTAACTTGAAAACGCTTGGGACTTCCCCGGTGGCACAGTGGTTAAGAATCCGCCTGCCAATGCAGGGGCACGAGTTTGAGCCCTGGTCTTGGAAGATCCCACAGGCTGCAGAGCAACTAAGCCCATGTGCCACAACTACTGAGCCCACGTGCTGCAGCTACTGAAGTCTGCACGCCTAGAGCCCGTGCTCCGCAACAGAGACAAGCCACCACGATGAGAGGCCTGCTCAGCGGACTGAAGAGTAGCCCCGGCTTGCCGCCAACTAGAGAAAGCCTGCACACAGCAATGAAGACCCAACACAGCCAAACATAAATAAATAAATTTATTTTAAAAAAAAGAAAATGCTCAAACCCACAGCAAAGTTGCAATATTGAGAACAATGAACACGCATTTAGTTACTCTCGAGATTCCTCTATTGTCCTATCGCTGCCAATCTCCTGCTAAACCAGTTCAAAGTGAGAGCTGGGACTAGGGTGCGGAGAGTGGGGCACTCAGACACAAAGTTTAAGAGGCACCAAAGAAATTCAACCATCAAAATAAACATTGTATTACCATAACTTTTTAATCAAAATGAATAAAAATGCATGATGAACAAAGTACCAACATTTTAAATAAAAATAGGATCTGATCCTGTACCTGACACAAACTTTCCTCACTCTCCTTATCCTAATTCTGGCCCTGGTGATATCAAGTCACTTAAGTCCCTAAATACGTCAGGAGGCATC